ACACTTTAATCAATCCCAGCCTACACTTTGCTTCAAAATGAAAGGCCGGATTAAAGCAGAACGAGAACTGTATCCAGAATATGAAAAAATAACTTCATTGCAATGCTGGACTCGAAGTCAAAGAAGAAATGATGACAACAGAGCTCATAAGAACTTGTTATTTATCGACACTTGGACTTTACAATGTGAACAGCGTGGTTTCCTCGCCTGCGGATGATGAGACTGATAAAAGTCTAAAATACTAGCGCTAATGAACCGTGAATGCGTTTCACTTACCACAATAGACCCACCCCTTTTTGTTGGCGTCGATTAAGAGCTGAGGCACAGCCTTGGACCACTGGGTCAAATCGCCATCTTTGTTGATATTGTAGAGTTTACCGAGCAAAAAAATTACTGTAAGCGATTTGAAACGTGCTTTTCTTTCTTCACCTTGAGTTTCTTTTCATATTAACGTCCTTTACATGGCTTACCGACGACCTTTAAGAATGATCATCCTTCGAAGTTCGTCTTTATCAATTTTAGCCACACTCAAAATTGTATGCTCTGCGAGAAGTACGAAAACTCAGAACCGTGGAACGTTTTTGCCAATGCGCCTTTCCCCTTTCGACCAGGAATTAGGTGTAGACGAAGAACCTCTAAGAGGATAAGCTACCTCTAAATCGCTGATTAATTAATTATTTATTTATTATAATAAATTATTTACATTATCAACCTCGGTCCCAGGGTCTTCTCGCTTTCTAATATGGCGGCGGCCGGAGAGAAGACCCTGACACTGCAGAAATCACGTGACTGATTTGTCCACGGAAAGTGGAAATTTATTCAAAATGGCGGCCAAGATAAAGAGTGAGAGGATCTGGGTACAAGGTCTTGAGGCTTCCTAAGGGACCGCTCGCTTATTACGTCCCGGAGGCAGATTTCAGAAAAGTGTTGTGTATGAAAACCTTACCCCCCCCCCCCCAAAAAAAAAATAATTACATGTGAAAATTGTACCCCAATTGGCGATAGCAATTTTTAAAATGTACCGCCCCCTCCAACCCCTTCTAGACCAAGTCTATTCTTCCATCCTTGGACATTGATTTCAAGATACCGGTAGTCGGCAACGTAGCGTGAGATTTTGAAGGAGCGTGCAAGGGAAGAAACGTTAGCGCGCCCAAGGCGCCTTAAACCAGCTGGGGGAGTCCGTCTGGGGGCATGCTCCCCCAGAAAATTTTTAAATCTATGGTCTCGTAAATGCTATCTCCTGCATTTTCTATAGGACATTTACAGTAAATAAGGGCGAAGGCAAATGCAGTAATTAGTTGTTTTTTTTACCCATCTATCTCTGGTGTTATCGGTAACTCACTCTGCCTCGCCCGCGCGGCCGCCGTTTTTTGGATGTCACCCAACGATTGAGGGACCGGTCATTATTCATGTAGAAGGGGAAGGGGGGGGACGATCAAACTATTGACCCCCCTAAACTTCCTTATAAAAACGTTTAGCCCCCCCCCCCCCCCCTCCAGTCCCTCTGTGATAAAAGCGGGAGGAGACGTCATGTGTATGTTTTTTGAATGAAGAGATCTTTTTAGCTTGTTATTGACAGAGTTCACAATGTTATGAGCAGTAGTACTTATCACAGTGGGCCTGATGTCAATGATCTGCCATTGCCGATCTAAAGTTCAAATGAAAACGTTTTCTTCAAGATGTGTGATGTTCGTAACAATGCAGATATCTGGCGAACACTGACGTGACAGTCAATTGGCAGTTGGCCCGCAAGATAGCTTTGTGGATTCTCACATTGAGATTGTGCCCAGCTCTTTGATTACAGTACTGGTATGATCTTTCACTGACCTTCGAAACAGGCAAAACTACCACATCCGGCCACGAATGATAATGATGATGATGATGATGATGATGACGACGATTAACACGTAAACTTTAGAAGAAATCCAAATTTTGAAATAAGTCCAGGGAGCCCATAATCAAAGGGGCTTAATCTACAGATTTCCCCAAATTCCATTGGCTTAAAATTGGAAGGAAAATAAAGTTGTGTGCACAATTTCCCAGTGTAAAGATCAGGAGGTTGGGGCATTGACTAGAAACGCCACAAAAATAATTTTTACATGAAAGAAGATCATCGCCGTTATAGTTACGCAACTTTTGCAGTTGCGAAAAGAAACCTTGAAAAAATTCAGGCTTGTACAGGATTCGAACCTTTGAAAATTGAGCTAACAAGCCAACTCAGAGCAGGTCGTTGAATTGATTCGTATTAAACCCGTGAAAGGATGATGATGAAGTTATGAATATAAGAAAATCATATATGAGAACTGCGGGGTGAAGAATTATATAAAAGAAGATCATCCGCAGTTTACTTTTAACGCTTCAAGCGCGACCACAACAATACATTTTAGGGAAAATACAGTACCGTTCTCCACACTTGAACTTAGTTCCCAAAGTTTCTTTGCATTGCGTGTCTGTTTGATTGTTTCTTTCTTTTTTTTTTATAATGCTCTAACACCACGGCAACTATGTTATTGAAATACAGTACCAGCACTTACACTATTCCTAAAGTTTATTTATTCATTTATTTATTCATTCGCTTATGTAAATACAAATTTAAATATCCTCTGCCTCGCAAATAGTTAAGCTTATCGAGAAAGCCAGAGGAAAACGTAAAGTACACATTTACTAAGCCAAAAAAAAGAAAGAAATTTAAAACAAAACTATCAAAATACGAGAAGAACAATGTACTGCAAGATTACAAAATTACGAACTAAATTTAAATCAGTCATAGCTTTCTAAATTTATCTTTGGGTGTGTCAGCATAAGTATCCTATTTCAAAATATCTTAAAGAAGTCCGCGCAATGATTTTTCTGTATTTTACGGTATAATTTTAAACTGAAAAATTACAAGTTTTATTATAACAAACACTTCGCAGGCTAATTCGTATCTGTAAATTAATAAAGAATTCGAAGTAGCGGAATTTCTGAAGGTATACGAATCATTTTCTCTTATCAGAGTCTACTACGTACGTCCTGGTAAAAATTACTTGAATAGAAAAGAACAAACGTGACTACGCAATGTCACCAGTGTCATTGGAAATGGCTAACAAACTTACGGTTATAACATAACAAAAGGAAATCGCGCTCTCTGATTGGTCAGTTAGCCGCTACCATTTGCCCGTGGTTGCACGCCAAGAAACTGAGCTAGCGCGGTAAAATTTAGGCAAATTCAACAAATCTCCTCTACTGACGGTAAAATATTCCGATGAAATGCACAGATGAAAAGTATACCTGCCAACTCTCACGCCTTAGGCGTGAGTCTCACGCCTGCGGGTTGAAAACGTCGATCTCACGCCCGCTCACGCCTGCGGACCAATTTCTCACGCCTGATTGAAAAATGTGAGTTGTTGCCGTCTTGCTTGACACAATTTCCAAAAATATGTTAACTCAGACCCATGCAAGGAACGAAAACCATGTGTAAAATGAATAAATGACAATACCTTCCTCGCGATCTCTGATTTTGTGGATAAGCGTTTTCCTGATAACTTCGCCTTCGGCAGACTTCGGACGTCTTCGGAAGACCTCGGACGTCTTCGGAAGACTTCGGACGTCTTCGGGAATCTTCGGAAATGATCGTGTCGTTTTCAAAAATCCGAGCACTCCCAGGATAAAAATCTCACGCCTACATCTCAGAAAAAGTTGGCAGGTATAGAAAAGTGGAAGTTGAAGGAAATACTAAGCTGTCGTTTTGAAGGAAAAAAGACAAAAGATCAAGCGACAAATTTGCCTTGGATGAATTAATCACTGTTTTCCTCGCGGCTAGAATCGGCTGAAGGATAATCGAGCCAGCGAAGACTTAAGGTACATTTTGTGTGTTTTTTATAGAAGAGAAAGTCTGTTTGAAATGCAAATTTATCAATTACCATTGTGTTATTGACTTTTTGGTCAAGCTAATGCTAAATTCAAGCAAATATTCTAGGAAACACGCTCAAATTCGAGACAGCTTTGTTGTGAAGTTTTCATCGCATCGATTAAAAATTTTAGTTGAGTTTAAACGGGCACATTACACTGGAATAAGCGAATTTCATTTGAGTACAGAAACATTTGGGTTTTCAAATAAATTTTTCAAAAAATAACTTCTGTGTGTATTATTTTGTTCCTCAGTGTTCATAACAGTCGTTCTGAGAACGGTCGAAAAACAACAGCTTCAGCGCCGGCTGTGTGTCGGCGAATTTCAGTTGCAAGTTTGATTTTTATAGCTGGATTTCCCCAGACAGATTTCGTTGCAAATCTAGTTAACTTCTTTTTAAAATTAGTGTTACCGGTTATTCTAAAGGAATTACAGTCAAATTTTCTCATTTCTACTTTACGTTTATTTCAAAATTGTCACATAAATAAGCTTGATAATTATTTCATTTATTCAGTTTATAGCTTATTTTTTAGAGTCTTTTTAGCTGGTGTTTATAGTTGCAGCTATAGTTTTCCCTCAAAGTTTTTACCCTAATATTAAGAGCAAGTAGACAAATGCCATTCAGAATAACAACAAAAAACGTTTCGCAGTTTACCTGAAGACGGAGAACGGTTGATTCGGCGAAAGAAAAACTCAAAGGCAAGTTTTTGAAAAACATAGAACTTGATTTGTTTACGCGCGGACAGATGGCAGCATACATGAACTCGTACCGATGACTCAACGGAAGGCAAATGGAAAATAATGTTTTTCTCTTTTGGTTATGTTATAAAAGAAATGGTAAACGTTGCAGCTGTGCAACCATGGAGTTATGGATGCACTTGGGAGGTTTGCTAAGCACTCAAGAAGCTAGAGTCGCACTCGGCTATCGCCTCGTGCGACTCTTACGCTTCTTTCGTGCTTAGCAACCTCCCGCGTGCATCCATAACTCCATGGTTGCACGCTGCACGTTTACCATTTCTTAATTTCAGAGCTGGGTCAGTTCGTTTTTTTTTTTTCATTCAACTCTTTACTGATTTTAAGATTAATTCTGCTGAGGATCCGCTATACTGTTTTAAGGTAGTTTGTGGCAAGCTTGTAAATGATCAAAGTTAATGTGACCCCAGTGTCCCGAAGAGTGGTCAATCAAACGCAATTGAGCTTGGCTACCAGTGAATCCCGACACATTCCACTTTTTCTCAAACATAGTTTCCGTGCACCTCTTCGGATGATGATGCCTTTTAGCTTTCGTTGTAAAAACCACATCCCCGTCAACTATAAGCTCAGCACGAGTCTTGAAATTTTGACAGCCTGCTCCAATCAGGAACGTGAGAAAGTTTGCATCAATTAAAAAACTGGGTGACGTCATTGAGCCTTGAGGTTTATCGTCTTGTATTTCTCCCGCCGGGTGGGAAGAACTGGACCGATTTTCGAAGGTACCAATCCACCAATGCCCTTGGTGATTTGACGGTTCTTTCCTGTTTCCTGGATCGTTTTTTAGCCTCTCTGATGGGTTGTCTCCGTATGTTGGCTGATTACTGAATGCAGTCCCATGCAACGTCCAATTTGATAAATCGTGGTCTTCGAAATCAAAGATGGTGTAACATACTAAAGGGAAGAAAGAATAAAGTTCACAGTGTGAAGTGATTGCGAGCTTAAACAACAATTTGCATGAAAGTACGCTGAGAGAAGTCATGACGTTTTCCTACGAGTTAGTTAGCCATGATCATATGATTGTGCTTGACGCTTTTTTGTTATTCGAGGTCGATCAGAAATAAACCATTAGAAGATCATTAGTTTTTAAAAAAAACTTTCAACGACTTCTTGCTAAGCCTTCGAACATGGTCGCTCGTCGGCGACCTCGTTCCCAAGTTCTCTCTCCTACCCGCAGGTACGGTTAGAAGAGAACCCTGGGAACGACTTTGGCTCGTCAGTTTCTCTCCGCCGCTCAGGATATTGGAGATTATTTACGATGAGACTATATGGCCTCAAACGGCGCCTCAAACACCGGCTTTATCGATGACGTGCATCCATGAATCGATACGAAAACTACTTCATTCATTTGATAGTCTGCCTAAAATCCGTTTACAGGGCATGCTATTTTCCATCTTTGTTTTCCCTTCCTTAAAAAATTGGCTCGCAATCACTTGATTCAGGAATCTGAACTCTTTAGACCATCTACGCCATAGATAGAACACGGTGATACCTGTGCACTTGAATCCGTCTCCAAAGAAGCCAGTATTGCAGATGCATCCGTAAGATCCGTCTGTGTTCGTGCAAGTCGCATTTTTGCTACACGTGTTGTTTTGCTTTTGACATTCGTCAATATCTAGAATGATTTTGTAATATCATCAATTCTTTTAGTCCTAATAAGTCTCCTATACCTCCCTTGTGATCCCCCCCTTTATAGTGCAAGAAAGCTGAAAAACCGGCCTTTCTTTTAATTTAGCCTTCGCAACTCCCTTCTTTTTCGCATGCAAAACGTTAGTTAGGGAGCGGGCATTAACTATTGGGGGGAGGGCTGGTAAATTTTGGGGGCGGGCTGCGATTTTTTGGACGCCCATTTAGGGAGGGCTAAAATTTTCTGGGCCAGCATTTAGGGGAGGGTTACAATTTCTGGGCGCCTTTGGGCGATGTGCGCGTACTATTAAATGGGTTTTGTGCTACTGAAATATTAAGCACTGCTTGAAATACGATGGCCGTGCACGTAATATTAACGGAATTGCATACATAAAGCTGAATCGCACGGTTAAAAAGCACTCTGATTGGCTGGAGATGAGCATTGACTTAACGCAGAATCGCTTCCAATTTGCTTGGCTTTGAAATGGCTTTGAAAACAGCCCATGGTTTTAGTTTGGCTTTGTTGTTTAATCAACGTCATCGTCATGTGATTTTCCTGTATTATAATACATCTGAATGGCAGATAATTTCATGAAAGCCCTTCTTAAAACGAGCCGCGATCAAAAGTGCACGGATAGTTGATATGTTATTATAACTGAAAATGTATTTTTTCATGTTATGAATGGTACTCGATCTGTATTGTTTTTTTTTAACTCATAGTGGTCAGGTTCATACCAATCCTTCTTTTACCAAACTCAGTCAGTCTTAAAACAGTAACAGCAACAGAATGTTTTTCTTTTTCAACAAATGTAACATAGTTTTTTTATGTACAGTATACAAATGTATAGTGAAGATGTAACGATTAGTCAATAGGCTGATAGAAAGGAGCGCATTTGAATGTGTTCCAGTAAGGGCCAGAGTCATCTGAACTGCTACTGTCGTATGCTTCCATTGCAGTGCCCGAGTGAATATCAAAGGCACTTCCTGATTCCTCCTTCTGACATTGTTCAGTGGCATCATCATCATCGGCCCCGCCGTCACTATTTATTTACCAACTAAGTTTTTTCTTTTTGTTAGTTCAATAACCACACCAGTAGTTTGAAACGTGAGGAAAGAGAGTTAAAACAAGGTTTCATCCACCGCTAACCGTTATGTTGTCTGCTTTATCAACGCGCGCTCTGTCGGTTTATTTAGTATCCGAATTTTTCTCCGGACCGAGTTAGCTTTCCCTTTTCAGTGCTTACTCTCTTTCCATGTCTGTTCACTGTGCCCCTGATGAAAATGACAGACCTTCTGAGCAGACTAGAACTTCTTAATTAACATCAATCTATGTTGCTGCAGGTTCCTGTCTATATTAGTGGGCTCACTAAAACTTTATAACAATGTGCCATAGCTATTTGTAAATTTAGTTCTTGTATCGTTGCTAAATGAGTATCACTTACTTAATGCTAGACATTCTAATTAAAAAATATCTAACGTAGTTGTGGCTATTTTTTCCGCAGCTACATGTAGTTTACGCTCAATGAAATAATGTGTGGTCATTGAACTACTGGTGTGTTTATTGAACTGTTGTGTGGTTATTGTACTAACAAAAAGAAAAAAATTGGGTTTTGTAAATGTTGTGAATACTAACACTTTTTTTTATTCCAATGAAAAAATTGTCTCAAAGTTACGCTCATATGGATTCTCACGATGCAACATTTGAATACTCAAAAAGTTATTACAGGGGAGGGTTACAATTTTTTGGGCACACATTTTTGGAGGGGGCAGGAGTTTTGGGCTGTTAACCTGAGAGGGGCTAAAATTTTTGGGCCCTCGCTTTTGAAATAATACCGGCCCTCCCCCCCAATAGTTAATGACCGCTCCCTTAACAGACTGTGACTAATTATGCTTGACTGTACAATAAAATATCTAATATAAAAATAACGTTTACAGCAGCTCTGCCCATTGCTGAAGATTACAGCATTTTGTGATGAACATCAATTCTTCGCCAGAGAAAATTCTGAGACACTCGACAAACGATAAAAAGTAAGTGTGTTGTTATTCTGTTTAAAATTTTAAGCAGAAAGATAAAACACTGGGATACCTGTGCAGTTGTAGCCGTCACCATGGAAACCATGTTTGCACCTGCATTTGTAAGATCCTTTCTTGTTTGTACAAGTCGCATTCTTGCTACACTTGTGACTCTTTTCATCGCATTCATCAATATCTAGGATATGATAGTGAATAAAATCGTGAATGAGAGTTTAAGGCTATACCGGTCTACACGATACTAGATAGCTCCCCCGCCGATAGCTCTTGCACTAGGTACAAAAGCCATATTGGGTATATTCTTTCCACACATGCGAGGACGGTGATTTCGGTGCAACTTCTGTAAAGGAGTGAAGCAATGCCGCACCGATCTCGAAAGTGGATCGTCACATATCGGATAGGGTTCTGTATGCCACTCTTTTGTGCAGTGTGAACAGGCGTTTCATACAATACTGGAGAGCTTTTCATGTCGACATGAAAACTGCGAGCTTAAGCGACGGCAACGAGAACAGCAAAAAAGCAATAAGTTTAGATTAGCAAAACAACGAACTTTGCACGTGAATCACGCTTTTTTGTACATTTTCTTGTCTGGAAAAAGGACAAGAAAACCTTATGGTTTAGTGTTTAGTGAAGAACTACATGTTTGAGCCTTACCCATGTTACATGTTCCACCTGTCCAACCATCAGGACACAAACATCGATATCTTTTCTTGGTGAAGCCTGATTGACACGTTCCGTTATTTTGACAAGGAGAGTTGGAGCATGCATTCTGAAAGAAAAAAGTTTGAATGCTCTTTCGCCGCGAAAGGCACTATGTTTTAAAATCATAGTCAAACAATAAATATAAATGCAATTTTTGTAACATCCTTCGGCTTAATCAATATAGCAAGCTTGATGTGATTTTAAATCTTGCAAGGGGGGCGGCATTGTCTCCCTAGAGTTTTCAGTTGGCCACTAAATTTGTTTTGTCAGTAGGGATTTCTCAAGTTATTTTAATGTGTGCCTGATTTCCTTCTGTAACAACCGGCTTTACTGGGCCTTGTTGATGTTTAGTTTTGTTTACCCGAAGTCACGTTTTTGGTCACTCCTGCTATTTTAATGTCATTTGGCTAAAAGTGAAAGAACTTTTGGTAGACATACTTAATTTTCCAAGAGATATGTCCCGTCTATACCACCGGTACAAAACAACAAGGACGATATAAGCCAATAACACAAGTATTTACGTTTCTGGTTCTTCACCGTTTCTAACAACTGCATGGAAATAAAACACAGTACATTTGAAACATGTGCAAGAAATAACTGAAACGAAAGTTTTTGTCATCTTACTTTGGTTCCACGATAAAAGTGATCTTGGTCAGGTACAAGGTCTCGTTCATGCTCGCCGTGTGTTGAATTGTTCAATTCACAGCTGTATTTTCCTCTTGCAAGCATTTTGAATTTAAAATTAATACTGACACAATTGTATTCGTGGTAACATCGTAACTCGCACTCATCTAGATCTTGAACTTGTAAAACTCTTATTGTGTGGTTCAGCAAGCGCTTGTTAGCAAAGAAAAGGAAACTTGGGAACGCCAGCTCACGACATGGACCTGAAACCGGAGTTTGAAAATAATGCTAGCAAAACTACGACAGAGCAGGGAAACATGCAATAAAAATCTTGTTAAAAAACAGACTGACACATTGCTACTTGGTTCTTTGTCCTTCAACAGGATTCTTTTGTTATAATTTCGGTCATAAAGTTGGTTTTCTATTAGTTTCGTATCTGAACGTTTCTCATTCTTGTAACCTTAGTCATTTGATGAATTAAAAGCCGCCTAAACGACAGTTCGGAGTTTATATACTGAGAGAAAACATGAGACGAGTGCCTTAAAAAAGGTCGGATTTAACAACGCGGCTTCTTTCTTGTCGAAACTTTTTCAGTCTGTAAAAAACCCCGTGGAATGCAAGTGTCTTTTTAATACCCAACTCTCTAAAATTTCAGTTGTAGTCTATATAGATGGGGACATCATGATCACAGACTGATCCCGTACATCTCTCAATTGCATATACGAAAACTAATGGCAGGAGCGAAACGCTATAATGTTCGCTCTGTCTTTTTCAAGTTAGAGCTGAAATCATTGTCAGACCGGAGGACTATTTCAAAAGATAGTTGGGTTTTTACTGAATTTGCCAAGAGTAATCATGTCGCTTTATATTCCTCAGCTACTTAATTTAATCGACACCTACCCTGCACCTGAGAACAGGTTGACACTTGTTTCCAAGAAAGCAAAGGGAAAAGACTACAGAAGTACAGCAAAGCAAGCATAGTGCTCTCTTTAGTTCGAGTCCATCAGAAAGTTGAGCGTTATTTAGGGAGAGTGGATCAGCAACGGTATAAACGCGGAACTCCCTCTTTATATTGGAAAAACATCTGCTATTGTATTTAGGTCTAATTAAAACAATGTTTGAGTTATTTCAGGTTATCAATCTACCGTTTCGTTTCGTTAGTAAATCAAGCAACCAACTAAGGGGCGCTTGAAACTCCAATGCTGTCCACATGATAATAATAATTTATTATTTATAAGGTGCAAAATAGCATTAAAGCACTCATATTTCGCCTTTTTCAATCGCATGTATGTATAACCATAAGGTTGAATATGGACACCATGGAATTTGCATAAGAAGAATTGATACGACCGAAACTGAACTGGCTACTGAAAAGGGATAGAAATTAAGTTTTTAAAAGTTACAAAAACTCGAAAGCTATTGTAAACAGTACTGACTAGCAAACATTTAGCACTGCGACGTTGTTGACTTTAATTGAAAAAGAAAAAAAACCCCAACTAAACGACGACAGGTGGAACATTAGGTGGCCGTTAACTCATTCAGTTAAGGTCAGTTAAGTGAAACGTGTTAAGCAATGTCTTTACTATATCGAATTCAACTTAATCATGTCGGCAAGAATTATGCCCCGGTCTAGATCAACTTCTTCGTCACACTGCTACGAAGAGTGGCACAGCGAAAGGTAACGATCCAGTTTCAAGATCATCGGGGCGACAGGGCTTCGCAACGTCCGAGAAAGCGCTCTGAATCACGACTGTTCTTGTTAGTGAACAACACCCTTTCCGATGTGGTTTTGGTGCCGACGCACGAGCTATCCTGTATCAGTAGTGTAGGGATAGCCTCAGGCTAATAGGTAAGGCTTACCTATTAGCTGCAAAACAAGACAAACAAAAAGTGAGAAGTTAAAAATGAATGTATTTTACAGACGTAGAGCAAGCGCGTTCATGTCTAATTCTTAACCTAATATCTGATAGCTTAGATTAATTTTTAATAATGTGTATTGACATAGCAATAACTAATGCGCGGGCTTAAAAAGGAGCCGATTGCAGCACCTTTTAGCGGCCGTGGTATGCCCGACGTTCCTCCCCTGGGGCTAAACATTGACAGGTGCATTACAAAAACTCGAAAGCTGTTGTAAACAGTACTGACTGGCAAACATTTAGCACTGCGACATTGTTGAGTTTAATTGAAAAAAAAAAACAACAACACCACGACGGGTGGAACAAGGTGGCCGTTAGCTCAGTTGATTATGAGTGAAACGTGTTTAAATTGCTTTACCGTACCGTGTCGGCATGAAAAATACTCCGGCCTAAATAAACACCTGCCACACTGCTACGAAAGGTGACGACCTGAAATTCGAGATCATCGGTGCGACGCAGCTTCCCTATTTCCGAGAAAGTGCTCTGAAATCACAAGTGTTCTTGTTAGTGAACAAAACCCTTTTCCGATGAGGTTTTCGTGCGAGCGCACGAGATAGTGTCAATAGTATTGGATTAACTGCAATTAACAAGACAAACAAAAAGAGAGAAGTTAAAAATTTATGTATCTTATTGACATAAAGCAAGCGCGTTTCATGTCTAATTTTAAACCTAACATCTGATAGCTCAGATTAGCCGATACATAAGTGCACCTTTTATTGCCACAATACTTTGCCATAACCACTATTTGACCTTTCCTTATTAGATAATTGCGCAAGATTAGGAAAGTCCCTGATGCGCTCAAGACCTTGTAGGAAGCTGGCACAGTGGTGGATCAGAGGGTGTTCGTATTTATGCGGTTTTGCAGAAAAAAATATTATATACTCATTAACATCTCAGACATCCTATTCAAGACCATTGAATAACAAAAGAATAACAGAACAGCAAAATTTGTTATATTTACC